GGCCAAAGGCTCCTCTGAACTCCAAGTGGGAAGTGGGTTACATGCAGGGAAGCACAATAATCTTGAGGATAAATGTGGCCCTGATACTACCACAGAGCCTTATTTGCATGTCCAGTTCTCAGATTGCAAAACCTAGTTGTAAGTGGAAGGAATTAGCTTTACTGTCTCATAACAGCCAGCCAAGATGATGAACTTGAAGCAGTTCTCAATTTCCTTTGGTTTTGTTTCTAGAAAGCTCAGTCATAAGAAGAATCAGTTTCCATCTTGTTTTTGCTGCAGTCAATGAGCTGGCATCAGGGTGCTTCTTTCCATGCAAATAAGGGCCTTCCCCCTCAGAGGGATTTACAAATGGCAGCCTACATAGCGTAACATTACCCAGAGGTGTAATAACACCCCTTTCATAGCACAAGAATAGGTATTAGTACTACTATAATTTATTTATGAAGGCAGATTAGAAGTTAATTCAATTGCTTTTAAAGCCCTTACGCAGCTGTCCACGTAATGGTGCCATTGTTGGCAGATCTTTTGTTTATGCAAAGTTCACCCGGTGCAGAGTCAGCGGGAGGCCAGTTTGCCACTCAGCCTGGGAACACAAGGCGTATCTCAGCACAGGAAGCTAATTTTCCCCCAACGCAGTGGCAGCAAGAGGCCAAGTTATCAACCACTGCTCCACTCACAGGCAAACACCTTCCTGAGTAAACACACCCAGCACCACTAAAGCAGCCGTTTGCCCTGTATGTGTATGTCCCATTCTCACAATCTTGGCACATGGCCGAGTTATGCCCCAAGCAGTCCGCAGGAGCCCAGCGCGCTCTGCTCAGCCCCGGGGTAGCACTGCACCAGCCTACCAAGCACAAACTGATTCAGGAGTGACAAACCACTCTCCCACTGCCCCAGCAAGCTACGCAGATATGTGCACACACACAGCACTAATACCCAAGACAACCTGTTCCTTCTACGTGTTTGCCCAACTTTACAAGCTAGTGCAGAAAAGCTGTGTGTACCCTTTGTGGTGATTTGCTGTACTCAGATAAGGGGGAGGAGGAAGATGTATTCCCACTTCTTCCAATTCAGGCACAAATGGCATCCATGAGAACTGTGATATATCCCACACTAAGTGGTTCCTTCCCTGGCATACATCTTGGCTCTCACTCTTTTGGAAAAAGAGACTGAGGACAAGATGTCCCTAAACTATTTTAAAATACAAAGTAAGATTGATTGCTTGCCCAACCTTTTGTTCTAATGCCATCTTTCAAGCACACTTATTTTTAAAATTGTTATTGTTACCACCTTGTTGAGGTTTGCAGTGTTCAGTTTCCTTATTAGAGGTACACTCTCCGGAGTTCAGGATTAGGGAGAGTTTATCGGTGTTGTCACTTTACAGAAGGGTGATTAACAGGCAGCTGAATGAGCCAGTGAATCTATACTTGGAGCCAGAAAATACCTTCTGAAAGTTAGGAGCCCAAAGGCTTTTTTTTTGTTGTTTTATTTTGTTTCTTTAAACTTAAAGCACAACAGAGGGTATGTAACCCTTACTAGTCTTTTAACTCATTTCAAGAGCAACACAGACAAAAGACTGTTCTTTTCAAGTTCAACATCCACTCCCTGCAGCTAACTCTTGAGTAAAGGTCGAGACATACAGAGGAAGGGGGACTAGTACTAACCGTTACCTTGTACATATTTGTCAAATGGAATAATGGGATCAAACAAGAAGAGTTTATTCCTAGTAAAACATGAAAACTATCTTGGCCATATTGCAACCCAAGCATGCAATCTGGTGAATGGCTAACACACCCTGTGGGGACCAGGAGACCAAGCCGAACTAGGCTTCCAATCTGCAATTAAAGAACACTTACCCAAGTCAAAGTTCATAAAAAGCCACAGCAGAAAAACTGACAGTTTATCAGAGCCAATATTTTTTAATTTGCAACAGTCATTAGAAAGTTCTCCCCAATGCTAATCCATAATGAAGCAGGTCAGCAGAGAAGCTAAATTCACCCTATCTGACCAACCCAGGATTTACAATTGGTTTGAAGAAAGACAACAACTTCTCAACACCGATCATTGAAGGTAATTTGGGGTGTGCCATTACACCTGCTCTGTTCCATTAAAAGCTCCACTGTTTAGTGGTGGACTTGACAGCACTAGGTTTATGGTTGGACTCAACGGTGGTAAGGATCTTTACCAACCTAAATGATTCTGTGATTCTAGGAATACTTTTATTTGAGCTAGTCTGGCTTCATTCACGTGAACAGATTAAGCACCCACACCTCAAGCAGAACTACTGAAATGAGGACAAGCCATTAATCACAACAGCAATTTAACTTCCCATACGCAGTGCAACAGCAGACATTGCACGTGGAGAAGTGAGAATATTATGTTCTTGTATTAGAAAGAAGATAGGAAGAAAATGGGTAGAAGAAAACTCCAGCACTGCTTGAAATACAAAATAACTTTCCCAAAGAGCACAGTGTCAAAGATGAAACAGTGTCCCCCGATTTTATAGAATCATTTCTCTCTACCTTTGACATCAAATGAAAACTGACTGAACCTGCAAGACCTAAAGGCAGCTGCTGCTGCTTTCATTCCATTCTTAAGTGAAACCTTGCCCACTCTATCTCACTCTTTGGTTGACTTGGTGACGCAGGCTGTACCAGCCAATCAAAGAAACATGATGCTTGCCACCACTGCAAAGCACATGACTCTACATTCTCCAAAGCTAAGTTTCATTGTCTCAAAATGTAGGCTGTTTCCCTGACTTTCATCAGACCCATACAGACCCAACTTGTGTTATTAGTCACCGTACCAATGGCCCCCAAAAGGCATTATCTTACACCTACGCTACTACAAAAACACATCCATTTTGATTAATTGGTCTACTGTATTCTTCAATTCTTCCAAATACTTTTCTTGATTAACTATCATTTTCCCCTTTTCAAGTATCACTTAGATAAGGATGACTCATATCAAATGCTAGCTTGCTCTGTTGTAAAGCTAAAATAACTGCCTTTAACCTAGAGATAGTTTGCTCTGAGCATGATTGGGCAAAAATCTCATACCACCACCTTTTCCAGTGGCATTAACACCAAAGACCAGATCAGCAACCCTGAGGACAAAGCCATCTGCCCAAGCAAGAGCCAGCATGCAGTATTACTTGCTCTTACACAGTGACCAGCCTCCCATATCAAGGAGGATTCAGTCTGGACACTAGAGTAGTTGTCTCTGCACTAAGTAGCCGAAAGGAAGAACAGGGCAGAATGCATAGCATGAAAAACAATAATAATATATACATATATAAACCTGTATATAGCTGTACAGTATCTTCTACATTCCATGGCTTCAAACATACTGTGTTACCAGGCAAAAAGTAAAATCCTGGCCATATTCATGCCACTGTTTGTACATACAAATGAATAGTACTTGAAAACTCACTACACTTCAGGTACATATACACGGACAGCAGAAATGAAAATTTTCAGCAGGAATATCCTGTTTATTACAGAAATAATGAAAGAGCACCCTCAATTTATTTGGGGCTATACATGCTGATTCAGCTTTGAAATTTAAGTCAAAAGTGTGTTTAAAAACAAATGCTTTGGATAGTTGCACATCAGTCACTGATGAGAGAGAAATAAATCCTAGTGGCCTCCACTTTGAGGCATGTGGCAGATTTCTCCCTCAAGCAGTTCATTATGAATACTAGCAATGCTTTCCCTTTTCAGGTTCCTAGTAGCAGACCAGGTGACCTGAAGGAAATCACTTTGCTGCATCTCTGCAACACAATTCTTAAACACTGTGTTGGAGGACTGTTTTCCCTGGTATGAAACCATCCATAACTCACCTGGCATTGACAGTAACATCACACTAGAATAATCTTTAGGGAGCCTCAAAAGGCATGCACTTTGCAACAGTTCTGGTTTAGAAAGTACTTTTGAGTTTCAGAAAGGTCCAGGGAAATCTCTCTGGAAGGTGGACACATTTAACAGCACACTCCCAGCTAGTGAACACAGGCGCATTACTTTATTTTTAACAGCTCCTATGGAGAATGGTCTCTGCTGTAAGTTGAGAGCAATTATGTTGAAGTCAGAAGTCACACTGAAACAAATCAGTGCTGAAACTGCAGCCATAGCTCTAAAAACAAATATACAAGCAGACTGATATCAGCAACGCTACACATGCTCTGATAATCCACCACTGATGGGTGGAGATTCTACCAAGCTCCTAATAACAAAAAAGAGATTAATGGATACAGGTCTCATTCATTCCACTGGAATTACCTGTTTAGTCAAGTGTCAGCCTGGTCTTTCTACGAGTAACATCCTGAGCTTATGCTCCCATCTACCCCAGAAAATAAAAAGAATTGCAACTCCTTCTTCTTTCAATGCCTACAGGCTGCCTACTGTATTCTATATGATATCTATATGTGTATACTGAATACATACCAATGCAGCTTAAGGTCTGAAATGCATATTCAAAGAAAAAACAGTTTATAACTGGCTTAAGAAAAAAGCACATGAAATCAAAGATTTTTCCTTTTTTTTTTTTTTACTGTTATTTCCCAGTCCTGAACAGTATTTGCACATGAAACACTTAAACCAAGATCATAAACAAAATCATGCATGATAAAAAGACTGAAAGTATTATTGGAAGTGACTTGTTAACACTGTAAGCCTTCAGATAATGCATGTCAGCAAATTCAGCTATTATTTGTTCAATATTTCTCATTTGGCTTAATGGAACAAGATGGATAGCCAAACAAGAAGCATTCTTTCTTCAACATCCTGAGTCAAGCAAGTATCCCTATATAAAAGAGCAAAACACTTCAGCAGAACAGGACATTTCAACAAAGTATACACCTCTTCACACAAATGCAAGTGCTATAGGAAGCAGCAATGACCTTTATATAGGTTACTGTGAAACTTGTTTCAGAACTTTTCTACCAATTCCCTCAAGACAAAACATGAAAATACTTTTAAAAAAAAAAAAAAAAGAAATCTTACGGCTTGAAATGCAGTAAGCCAGCCTGCAGTTGATCCTCCTGAACAGTTGCTTGTTGATTGGCCAGAGTATAAGTGTAAAGAGTTGAATGAAGTTAATGATCAGTCCTGACACTATAAATATGTAGCAGATCAGAAGGTGGAAAATGAATTGAGACTTCAGAAAGCCAGCGATGTCCATGATTTGCTGAGAAAGCAAGAGGGTACCTTCAGACCCAAAATTCAGAAGTCAACCTGAAAAATCAAACAGTGTCAGCAGTTACAGAATGCATTTATTTTTATCAACAGACTGTTAAAACAGACTTCCCATTTTACATTTAAATACACTAAATACAGTAAAATGAAAGTTAATTCTATTGTAGAAAAAGGCCTGATTACAATATTTGCAAAAGTAAGCATAGAAAGAGAACACTGTATTTCTGAATCAATTTACATTTGGCTTTGGAAACAAATTTTCACATTTCAGTCCTAATTCTGCAAAATCTATGAGCATATGACTCCACTTCATCGACTACAATACTACTCTATCAGGTCTTAACTGATAAAATTTGAGCAAAACAATCCATTTATGAAGTACTGACAATTAAAATTAAAATATAAGATATATACTGTGGCCTCTGCTGTCTTCAAGAGCAGCTCCAAAGTAAACACAAGTTTTAGAGCTTTATGTTAGAAGTTGTGCCTTCCTCTACAGGCTATGCCAGCCATGCTCCCCAACCAAGAGGTAGCACCAGCCCTTTAATTCTAACTTTATTGTCTTGTTCCTTTGTCACATTCAAATATCAGTTGATTTTGGCAAGAGAATAAAAGCTTGGCTATGCACAATACACACAACTTGTGCAATTATTCCTTGACACTGTAAATCTGCCAGTTACACTCCGTAAGCCCAAAAAGGAAACATCAACAACAGTGCTAACCCATGACCGAGCAGTGTTTCCAGGAAAAAAAAAAAAAAAAAAAAAAAAAAAAAATCAACTCTTAGGTTACTTAAACATTTGCAGAATTTTGGAAAGGACCAGTCCAACCTTAGCAGCTGAGCATTCAGAGAAAGTGTCCTCTGCCAAGTATTCCAGCCTACCAAATACCATACTGACCTCCCCCCACCATCGCTAGCGCCAACACCAGTCTCATTTGTTAGGAGAGAAAATATGAAGATGTGATCTCTCAGTAAACAACACCCCAATATTTTGAATACAGTTAAGCAGAAGGTGCTACCATCCTGTTCCATTCTTAGACTGTTTCTCCCTCTGAAGCGTAGGAGAGTTTGCCCAGGGAGGAAGACCTGAGACAGTATTTCTGAACGTGCCCATCATAGGCAATAACAAAACGGCAGCTGTCAGCATCCCAGGGACTTAACTGATGAAAAAAAATCTTTATGCCTATCCTTTTAGTTTATATGAGACTCCATTATGTGAGGCACTGAGTCTAGAGCAGTGTCCTGAAATATTTGTTTTACTGCCCTTGCTGACTATGCTTACCACGGCAAAGAGCACACACAAGAACTGATGCAAAGCAATAGAAAGTTCTTTAGCCAGGTTTTCAACAGCAAGGAAGATGAAGAAAAATTTAAGGAAAAGACAATCCGTATTGTTGTATAATTTATAGAAGGAATTTATGGCAGGCCCAAGCCTATTATCAGCAGATAAAATGTGCCCTTTGTATATGGCAGAGTTTGTTCCCTTTATCCTGCTGCACTATTCAGTACCAAAGCAGACACCATCTGTAGCTCAGAATAGCAGAACAAGCCTCTGTTCATTGTAGTAACTACTGTCATGATACTTGCAAAAACTTTTCAAGCTTTAACCAACCATTCTATTAAAGATACGCTTCTGAGGGTGGCAGACAATTCATTAGCATGGGCTTTGACCAAAGGCTTTCTTTTTGTTAAAGGCTAAGTAGAATGAGAAATGGTCTAATAGGAACCATTGCAATGATTCATGCCCCAGCCTCTCCTATCACAGACTCTGAAGATAGAGCCAAACACTTAATAAAATAAAAAAAAAAAAAAAAAAAAAAAAAAAAGCAAACCCAAGTTTTGAATAGGTTTACAGTGAAAGATACAAGATTTCACTTCCCCAATTCAGACTATGGTACTTCACCAAGCCAAGTAGCAGGATTAGATCACCTCTTTAAAACAGTCAGTCAGAATGGAAGCAACCAGTTACTTACAAGTGTATGGTTTAAAAGACTGTACAGTGCCCAAAACCCCGATGACTGGGTTTATCCTGCTGTCCTTGGTTAAAACTCATCAAAAGCTTTTTGTGCTAGGTGGCCTGTTTAATTCCATCTCACAGAACCACTCTAATATAATGTAATTCCCAGAGATCAGTAAGGAACTAGACAGAAAACAAAACAAAAATAAATCCATGTGTAAGAGAAAAGCACTGTATACTTACAGTAGAGACCTGAAAATTCACTATTTGATATAATCAACAGAAATCTACTGCAGTAAGCAGTTGATTGACAGACTTTGTGACAAGGAAGAATTCACCAGAACATTAGCCCACCAATTCATTTTTTTTTTTTTTCATTGTAATAGTAACCAAACTGCATTAAAATGTTATGTTTATGTGAATCAATTACTTTATACCGGGTCTTTAAAACAAAACTTCACAGAAATAAAATAAAGATCAGATGACCCTGATAAAACATAATTACTGTCTTACAACTTTACAAAGCCACAATGGAATGTTTGAAAATAATTTATTCCTTGCTTTCATACTTCAGTCATCAGATTTCAATTCTGTAAAGCTTCTAAGACACTTTTTAAAGGCAAACTAAATCTACTTAAGCAGTACCACTGAAATTCATCTAACTTGCTTGTAAAAGGAACAAGAAATTAGAGCCACTGCTTAAATTTTGGTTTTCTGAAAAGTAGGGAGACTAGAGAGATTAATTTTCTCTTCTGATTAAATGTGAGCTGTTTCCCCTATAAAATTTGCAACCCAAACCTTTTATACAGAGTGCTAGTTAAGTGTTCTGTTTCAAAGGCATAAGCTCATTCTTAGAAGATTATTTTTAATATGATACTTTTTGGACTGTTTTCATTACTCAAACTCCAAGAAATGCAGTTTATTATTGGTACAAGCAACAAAAGAAATAGAAATTTATTCTCAAGAATCAATTCTGACCTTGTGAAAGAGGTCTAGAAGCTTGCTTTTTAAGAATTCACAGGAACTTCTTCCATTTGCTCTTTGTCTTACTAAAGTTCCTCGTGGGCAACATCAACGTAACACCAGTTTAAGTGATAAAGAATCAAGTCTTTAACTCTTAATCCATGATGCTGGTTTAATAAATTACACTGATTTCCTTATAGATAATGATTGAAAATTACAGCAATCTTTTGAAAACAAAAGAGCCAATCAATGCATTTTCTCAGAAGCTATTAAGATCGGAGAGCTGCCAAGAAGCTCTCTTCTATCAAACACCCCTTAAAATGAATTAGGAGAAAATGGCCAGCCAGAGCACCAAAAACAGATAGGGACATTCTTTAATAACAGTTTTCCCTTGGGTATAAAACAAAAGACTTAAACCTCAAATGCCTGTCTAGGGAGCAAGTCAACAAGCATTTATTCACGTGACTAAGAGATCACAGGATGAGATTTAAAAGCAAACTCCACCACTATTCATTCTACCTCCTTTCCCCCCAAGTTTCATTCTTCAGCAAGGTCCACTGTGTTTTCTACTTCAACTACTCGCAGCATTTCTTTCTTCTTAGAATAACTGATCCGAAGGATATAGAAGAAAAGGCAATGTTACACCAGTGATACACAAGGTGAACACCTCTCTTCTGGCAGAGGCTGTGGCCAATTAACAATGTTATTTTGTACTTCAAAGTCTGTAAGTTTTAAGACTACAACTAGTGATTTTGTAAAGAACACAACTGTTCACACTTTTACAGAAGTACGAGAATGAAGCAAAGAACTCTCACCCACCTTGTCCAAAGTCTGCGTAATAAATAGAGTCCTTGGAGTCTGGAAAGCAACATGGTAACTATCTGACAGCATCTGGACCAAGCTAACGTTGTCCACACTTAGAAACAGATGCAAGACAGCACTATACCTGGTTATTTTCATAACAGCATACTTCAAAGACTATGCAAAGCTTTTCTCTTAAGTCTCATCTTTGATAAAACTCTTAAATGCTTTGCTGCAAGTTAAGAACAACCGAGCATATGACGATGTCCATTCTTGCATTTTCTCATCTAAACCAGATTCTTGAATGGATGAGTTACAGAGACCAAGAATATGAAAACATGCTCCTGTCAGATTACAGCAGTTTCGGTAGTGCCTTTATGTGAACTTCAGTTGCCATCAGCACAGCACAGATAGCAGCACTGTACTTCATATCAGTCCATTTTAACAATGCTTCTGTATATGGACTCTATATGCAAGGCAAGACACAGGAAGCCCTTGTGCTCTTCTCCTTCTGTCAGTGAGCATCAAAAATTAGCAAAAGTGAGGTTGTGTCCATGTATGTATTCACCTCCAAGGAGAATATATCTGTACATGCCACACACAAAAAAAAAAAAAAAAAAAAAAAAACCAAGTCTGTAGGAATAATTATCCATCTATTTGCCTCATGCTTAATTAGGGTTTGAATCACTTCCCACCTCCCCTCCCCCAAAGGCAACTACTAGAGCATTACTTTCTGTGGTGGGTTTACATGGCAGGGTTTTAGTAGTGGCAGGACCTTCAGGGATGGCTCCTGTGAGAAGACACCAGGAGCTCCCCGTAACGTTAGACGGAGCCGGTTCCAGCTAGCTCCAGAGGGGACTTGTCACAGGCCAAAGCTGAACCCATCAGTGACGCTGGTGGCACATCTGTGATAACACATTTAAGAAAGGGTAAAAAATGCTGCATGGCAGCTGTGAGAGAAGAGTGAGAAAAACATGAGAGAAACAGCCTTGCAGATCCCAAGGGCAGGGAAGCAGGAGGGGGAGGAGGTGCTCCAGGCACCGGAGCTGATATTCCCCTGCAGCCCGTGGTGAAGACCATGGTGAAGCAGGTTGTCCCACTGCAACCGTGGAGGGGAGCCCACTCAGGAGCAGGTTTTCTGGCAGAAACTTCAGCCTGTGGGGGACCCAGGCTGGAGCAGCCTGCTCCTGGAGGACCATACCCTGTGCGAGGGACCCCAGCAGGAACAGGGGAACAGCACAAGGAAGAAGCAGTGGCAGAGAAGAAGTGTTACTGCAACTCCTATTCCCCGTTCCCCCTGCACCACTCGAGGTGTGA